CCGGGGTCCGAGTCTCGGGAGCCTCTGGGTGGGAGTCCGCTCCCCGCGTCCCCAGACTCCCCAGAGCCCGGCACGCCGGGCTGCCTAGTAACCGAGCAGACTCCCCAAGCCGGCTAGCCCCCGAATCCACACCTGGGTTTGCAAAGCGGCCTCCTCTGCGTCCTCTAGACCTTGGTCCCCGCCCCCATACCACCGACCCTCTTAGTTTGGAAACCAAATTTCGCCTTTGGTCCCACCGGCTCCTGCTCAGGCGTAACCCTGGAAACATTCTCCCCGCCTCGATTTCCCCACCTGTGAAATGGGGCAGACATTCCTGTGCCCCACTCAGGGTTGATGTGGGGTTGGCGGGGAGAGCGGATGATGGAAAACGCACAACGGGGCCCAGCGCTGCCCTCCTTTGGGGGCCACGTTTGTGCTGGTGGGGCTCTGAGGTCCTGCCCAGACCGGAAGGGGCTCAAGGTCACTCCTGAGTGATCGCTGCCATCGCTTCCATCCCTGCCCCTCGCCTCCCTCCCCTCTGCCAGAACGCCCTTCTCAGGGGGGTTGGCGGGGCAGATGTGAGTGTCCAGCTGGGCGCCCAAGTGTCTCCTCCCTGCCCGCGGACAGTGTTTTGGTCGATTATCTCAGGTTCCCTTGGGGTTCAGATCTCGTGGTACCACTGGGCACCCCAAATCTCGCAAAGGGAGGGTGCTGGGGCTGCCCGGGGAGGGAGGGCAGCAACAGAAGCCCTGGTTCCGGCTGAGCTCCTAGAAAGGGATTTGCCCGTGTCCCTCCCTCTCCGCATGCAGTGGGTGAGGGCGGCGGTGGCGGGTGGGTGTTCTCCAGGCAGGAGGGCGGGCGTGTCTGGGTGGGGCCCTGGGGTGTGACCTTGGGCTTTGGAATCAGCCCTTAACCTAACCCGCTGGGTGGTGGCAGAGGGGCTGGGGGAGCAAGGGTAGGGGCCACAGCCTGAGCACACTGTCCAGGCTGCCCATTGCATCTGGGCAGAACCGTTGGGGGACAGGAGGTGGGGAATGGGGTGCCGAAGGGGGCGCCACGTGGACATACCCTGCCCAGCTCCTCTCTGCTTGCTACTAAACCAGTCATCGCTGCCAGCTTCCTGAACCGGCAGGAAAAGGGCAGAGACTGGGACAGCCCCAGGCAGGGAAAAAATTACCTCTTGTGCTGAGTGACCCAAAGCTGATGGCATCAGTCAGGGATTCCTGTCCCCTGGGGTAGGGCCACCTGCTCCTGACCCTGGAGCCCGATCCCACAACCCTAGGGCTCTAGGAAGGGAGCAGGGCACACGCAGTTCTCTGCTCTGCTGCCGGCAGCCAGGGCTCAGCCACCTCCGGGGCAGTGGGCTCCCTCGCCCTCCCACCTCCCACATCCAATGAAGGACGGGTGACTGGAGTGGCAGGGACACGCTTACACAGAGCCCTGCACCCCTGCAGCTCAGGCAGGTCCAGGGACCTGACTGAGGACTGTGTGCCGGGACTGGGTACTCGGGTGGGGATGGCAGCCTCCTGGCCCTGAGCAGCCCCTCACTCGTGGGGCACATACCCCCACCCCGCCCACCCTGTGATATCAGTGGAATCAGAATGAGAGTAGGGGGCAGCAGAGGGATTCCCGGGCACTGGCCCCAGGCTCACCCAGGACGCCTTTCCTGGCAAGCAGACAGCATGGGGGTGGGGGGCAGGAGGAGCTTAGCTTAGAGCCAGCTCCTTCCCTAGTCCCCCTGGGAGCCTGGGTCAGCCCCTCCCCCCAGCTTCCTGGGCACCCCAGTTTCCTGCTGTGTAATATGGAGGCAGACAAGCCAGGGTATTGTGGGGACAGTCGCATGCAGGGGCGGTGCCTGGTGCTTCCCGGGAGCATTTTGGGTTGTTGGAGCAGGGACTGCCAGCGGCAGGGGTCCCTGTGCCCTCTCACCCCTCCACTCCCAGAACTGAGCTGGATTCAGGGAGGGCAGCTCCGCACTCCCTTGCTGGACACAGAGGGCAAGTCAGACCCGGACTGAGGACTGGGCTCCCCTCCCTGTGCAGGGTCTTAAGCTCCCAGAGTCAGGCCCCACCCTCTTGACCTTGGCCTGCCCTAGTCTTGCCTGGTCAGCTGGTCTCCTGGCACCTGCCGTTGGGCAGTGCTTCTCCCAGGTCCACAGCCTGCCCCAGGGAGGCCAAGGCTCGCAGACCATGCCGCAGGTTTAGCATTTACTCGCTTATTCACTCACTCATTCATTTCACGGACGAATGGCCAGAGGCCTGGTGAGGCCTGTGTTCCTGGAACTCACAGTCCCACGTGAACGGGAAGGCTCTTTCCTCCAGCAGACCTGTGGTTTTCAGCACAGCTTACGTGCCCCCACCCCCACCCAGGTCCCAGTGCCTGGCCCACGCCTGGGAGTGTGTTTGGAGCTCAGTGCATGGAAGAATGAATGAATGAATGGAGAGTGCTGAGGGACTCGAAAGTGACCCTCGGATTTCCAAAAGCTGATTTCAGCCCCAGAGGAGGCTGAGGAGGGCGGGGCAACCTCCCAGGCCGGCAGTGGAGGCAGCAGCCCTGTGTAAGTGCCGGGGCTGAGTGCCCTGTCCTTCTGTCTCTGTTAAAAATTCTTATTTTTCGGGGGACTAAGAGCCGAGGTAACTCTTATTTCCCTTTTCCCGGTTACACTGCCTCACGTCTGACTTGCAAAGGGTTGCCCTGCATTCAGCAACCAATGCCAAGTGGCAGGGATGCAGCAGCGGGCAAGCCAACCAGGTCCCCTGCTGCGTGGTGCGCAATTCGGAAAAGGGCAGCTTGCTTGCTGGGGGGGGCGAGTGGGTGGGGCTTAGCGGGGTGACGGGGGTGGGGGGCAGGGGACGGGGGCTGAAGGAATGTCCTGGGGAGAATTGTGGTCTCTCCCTGGGGCTCCCTGGCCCAGAGTGATGGAGCCCAGTGGGTGCCAGGCAGGATGCTGGCAGGCCAATTCACTCCCGCCCCTGGGCTGCATCACAATGCATGTGGTCCTCCCAACCATCCCATGCAGAGGAGCTGCAGTCCAGGAAACTGATACTCAAAGGGACAGGAACATTCCACGGAGGCAGCAGAGCAGGACTCACCTGCCTGACCGCAGAGCCCTGCTCCAGGTGATGCCCAGCAGAATCTGTCTAGGGAGTGCGCCGGAGCTGCGGAGGGAGGGGTCTCTGTCTGGGACCTTCCCTGGGTTTCATGCGGTGCCAGGAGAGTGGGCCCCGGAGGGCAATCACCACACGCCCCTCTGGACAATGGCTGAGATGTCTAATTGCTTGTGTCCAGAAGGACTCAGCCACTAGGGGCTTGAATGTCCTCAGCTGTCCCTAGGGAGACAGGGCCCCTCTCAGGGCGACCACCCCAGGACTGTTCTGGGGCACAGGCCAGGGGTTTGGGGGGCCCAGTTCGGGCTAGCGTGACAAGCAAGTCGGGCTCAGAATACGGGCTTCTAGGGAGAAATTTCCAATCATGAAGTGTGTCATTGGAAAAAATATATGTGTCAGTCACGTGTGCTCTGAGCCCAGGCCCCGTGGGACCCAGTTGTGCTAATAAACATGAATAAGCCAGTTTTCACATTAGAGAAATAACAGTTTCTAGTAGAAACGTGGTGCTTTTAAAAGAGGTTAATTAATAAGCAGCAGGTGATTGTTCGTGGCACGTTGTGGCAGAGGGTAGTTTTCATCTTAGAGGAGAGAGGGGCCAAATGACCCCCTACACACACACACACACACACACACACACACACACTCAGATTTTTTGTGTAGTAATCACCTTGGCTTCACCTCCGCCTTTAATTTTTACAGCTGGAGCTGTTTATCATCGCTCCAACTTTCACTAAAAAGGAAAAACTATCACTTAAACAAAGCCATTGAAAACTCAGCATCGTATGTGGGCTTCTTAACACAAATAGATCATACACACCAAGATTTATGCTCTCCACGTGACGTCATTTGCCAAACGCTGCCTTCCCAATCAAGGCCACAGTTAGGGATTTTCCTTTTGTGTGTGTGCCTTTTGCAAATAAAAAACGCCACTTGGGCGTCCTTTTCTCCGCTCGGCCCAGGACGTCGGAGAGGCCTCTGCCTGGGTCAGCCCCACGGAACTGGCTCTAAATGGTGACAACAGGGTCAGTGCTGCAGACTGTGTTTCAAGCTTCTGCTTTTGAAACGTAAGCTCTGGGATGAAAAGCTGTTCAAGCTTCGCAGTACGTTTGTCCGGACGGCAGCAGCAGACGGAGCCCTG